AAGTTAGGATGCTGAAATTTGGGGTCAAGTATCCTATCATAGTGTAAATGTGCATTAAGAAGGGATTTTGGAAAATTCAAGCTCCAAAGGGGGGAAAAGTAGCTCCAAAGTTTGTTTGAAAAATCCGCATTTTTCAACGATTGAAATAGCCAAAGCAAAATGTGAGACACTAATGTGTGAATGTCCATACATAACTATCTATGTCCATACATATCTATACATCTATGTATGTACATATGTATGTATGTACATTCGTCTTGCACTGACAGAGCAAGAAATGTTAATTAATTGAAAATTATATAACATTTTTAAAAGTAATTTTTTCTTTGTTTAGTGCATTTGGCATTAGGGTTTTCATTAATAACTTTATGCAGCAACAACAAATATCAAATAGTTGGGGACATCACATACACACACTCACACACACAACAAGCAATAGTTCGTGTCTATGTGTGCGGTTCTGTACGTACGGTTGAAAAAGGAAAGAGAAACATACATATGTATGTATGTATGTATGCCTGTGTATGAATATAGCATGTATGTACATTCGTATTAATGTATAATTTGGGCAATCGAACACAGTTGTTTGATTGTAAAAAAAATAATGCTCTAAAAACATTAACAACTGCAAGTCATTGGCTCGCTCTTCTTCTTTCGTTTTGACCATTTAATGTTAATTGCAAAGGCAAAACGCCAAAAGTTTACAGTTACCGTCGCTAGGCAATGACTGCGTAAGCGATAGTAAAGCAGAAACCGAATAACGGAGCTACGCATATTCTGCTTCGCATTGCGGGCAGATGTATGTATGTATATGATTTGTTCTTATTGATCTCAATAAATAATTAGATTTTATTATTTAAATATTCTGCTTATTGCATTCAAACTTCGATATTTTGATGGTATCGGTGGCTTCAACTATCGAAAGTTTTACTCTAGCAAATTGAGATGAGAATTGTCAGAATTGTTCCGAGTTTGTGCGTGACCGTATTGACTCAATATGGCACCAAAAAAGACTCAAATGTGAATTTAAAATTAGGATATACCCTTATAATTATTCCCCTTTCTTGCACATAGTCTATCTTAAAACGTTGCGTTATCTCTATATATAAAACAGTTTGTCCTGACTAATTGGTGATCAACGCACAGCCCAAACGGTAAAAGATGAAATTTGGACTCAAGTATCCTTTCATAGTATCCATCATAGTGTAGGAGCACACTAAGAAAGGCTTTTGGAAAATTCCAGCTCCAAAGGGGGGAAAACGAGCTTTAAAAAATATTAGTTATAGTGGTCATGTTCGTTTAACGAAATAGTTTGGCAAGAACAAAAATGTACGGACTACTGAACAATTTTTTGTCAAGAACAGAAAATGTTCATTTAAATACCTTAAATGCCTTCCTACTGATAACTTATAAGGTGAAAACATATGGGTAGGTTATGCACACACAAAATAAATACAATTGGAAACATTATATTGAGCCGGGTTAAGACGGGCAATACCTGCTAGTTTTGAATAAAATAAATTGATTTTGCCGATAAAACCATTTGTTCTGTTTTTATACTCTGTACATGAAATGTACAGAAGTATATTAGGTTATGTATAGACCGATTTAACGAGAAGCTATAGCCATAAATATATTTGCTGCTGCAGCGCTGCTCAAGCGCTGCCCGCGGCTGTTGTTGATGCTGGTGCTTTGGTTGACTGCACACATGTTTACACAGACACGAATAGATGCGCATAGACATACATACTCTCACACAACCGCAATTGCTATGTAAATGTGCAATTATACACCCTTTACGTGAGTTCGAATACCGAGAAAGGTAAAATCGAACAAATTTTTTTTTTATTTTCTTAATTTTTTTTATTTTCTATAATTATTGTAAACATATGTACAGAGTATTTCAAAGTCGGGACCCCCGACTTTAGCTTTTTTACTTGTTTCTGCCTGCATTTGTAAAGGGAAACCAGTATTTCTATATTTTGAAAATCCTTGAATGCAAAGTTGTAGATTTAGTTACGTAGATCACATTACCCAAATTTCAAATCGACCGAACAAAATTTATAACACACACTTTTCATTTGAACAAGTGATTAAATATTATAAACCCAATAATTCAGACTACAACACAAATTTCGAAAAACCGAGTATGCAGTTTTTATACCCTGCACCGAAAGGGTAAAAGGGTATATTAGTTTTGTGCGAGGGTACATGGAAAACACAGAAGGCAGACCCCACAAAGTACTTATATATATTCTTGATCAGGATGACAAGCCGAGTCGATATAGCCATTTCCGTCTGCCTGACCGTCTGTCTGTCTGTATGAACGCAAGGATCTCAGAAAGTATAAGAGCTAGAATAACCAAACTTGGTATCCAGATTCTGCTGAGCCCGAGAAAAGCGAGTTTGTTCTTTTTTGGTAGTCACACCCAGTTAGTTATTATATATCCGTATACCAAGTTTCATCATGAATTATGAAGAAAGTTATATCCATAAATAAAATCGCATACATGCCGGCAGCTCTGCCCGTAGCTGTTGTTCTTGCAGTTTGGTTCAACTTTGTGCTGCATACATACACGCATATAAACAGACAGAGATACGATTCTGATGTAAATTTATTATATGCATGTGTTGAATATTGTTGGAGGACAACACAATAACATAAGCGCTATTTGATATGTAAAGTAACGTCACTCGCTTTAGTTAAGCAGCCCATCTGGCAACTTTATTTACGTTTCTTGTTTGCTTATGTTTTCACTCAACTCTTTTGCGAAAGAGAACAAACGCACTCATATAATAATAATTATTGGTGGAAAAATACGGATTTTAATAAACAAACTTTGGAGTTCGTTTTCCCCCACTTGGAGCTCGAATTTACCAAAATTCCTTCTTAGTGCTCAGCTACACTATGATGGGATACTTGAGCTCAAATTTCAGCTTCCTAGCTCTTACCGTTTGGGCTGTGCGTTGATTGCGTATAGCTTTTCGTGTCCCGATTATTCCACGGGAAAATCCCTAAAATTCTAGCCCCATGAAAAATAGCGAAAACCAAGTATGTATGCAGTTTTTCTTGTATTCTTTATGAGAGTATACAAACTAAGTTTGAAGTTAATCGGATGAAAATTGTAGATTTTGTTTTATATACTATATAGAAAGTAAATTAATTAAAAATTTTTAAATTACTTTATTTTGTTTTTTTTTTTTTGTGGGGTGGTACAGGGTATTTAAGAGTTGAGCCCGTTCGACTTTAGGATTCCTTTCTTGTTTAGTTTTAACATAGAATAAAGAGTAAATTTGTCCTAGTTAAATATTTCGTTTGAAAATATTTTGCTTAATTTTGTAATTATATTTTCTTAAGTTTTATGTGCTTTATATTACTTTAAGTATTTTGATAATATTATTAAGATTAAGCAATAGTTTGTTATTTGAAAATATATTCAACGGTTCAGTTGTTATACAATGAAACGTAGTGTCCTAGTTAATTATTTCGCACATCTTATATATAAATGAAATTGTGTTGAATAGTTTATATTAAATTTGGTATATTAATAAAATGTTTATACCCTGTACCCGTAGGGTAAAAAGAGTATATTAGGTTTGTGCAAAGTATGTAACAGGCAGAAGGAAGCATCTCCGACCCCATAAAGTATACATATTCTTGATCAGCAGGACGAGATAAATCGATCTAGACATGTCCGTCTGTCTGGATGAACGCAACGATCTCAGAAACTATAAAAGCTAGAATAACCAATGTTAGTATCCAGATTCTCCGGGAAAGGACGAGTTTATTTTTTTTTGTGGAATTTCCCCTCCTTTCCCCACTACAGAATTTCGAGTTAAGAGTTAAGAATTGAGCCAGCTCAAGTCTAGCATTCCTTTCTTGTTTTATACTCTGCAAATGGAATGTGCAGGAGTATATTAGGTTTGCGAGAGGTGAAAAATGTAACACGCAGAAGGAGGCGTGGCAGACCCCACAAATATATATATTCTTGATCAGCAAGACAAGACGAGTCCATCCAGCCCTGTCTGTCTGTCCGTCCGTCCGTATGAGCACCTGGATCTGAAAGACTATAAGAGCTAGATACACCAAATTTTGCACAAAGATGCCTTATGTGTGTACGCTATGCGATTTTGTTTTATTTTTTAGAAAATTCTCGCCCTCCCCCTCACCACCGCCATTCGTGATTATCCATAATTCCCGAAATTCTTGGAATTTTTGACGTAAATTTGGCAAATGCCTCAGTTAGTAATTATGACACACAAACACACTTAGGCACGCATAAATATTCTACACATATGTACATAGTATTTCAAAGTTTTGACATCCGCCGTTAGGTTCTCCACTTGCTTTAATTTAATTTACTTAATACATGTACAATGTTTATACCCTGTACCCGTAGGGTAAAAAGGGTATATTAGGTTTGTGCAAAGTATGTAACATGCAGAAGGAAGCATCTCCGACCCCATAAAGTATATATATTCTGAATCAGCATGACGAGAGAAATCGATCTAGACATGTCCGTCCGTCCGTCCGTCTGGATGAACGCGAGGATGAACGCGAGGATCTCAGAAACTATAAAAGCTAGAATAACCAAAGTTGGCATCCAGATTCTCCTAGGTCCGAGAAAGGACGAGTTTATTTTATTTTTTGGAATTTTCCCCCCCTTCCCCCGCTACAGAATTTCGTCAATAGCGTCCACATTTCAAATACTACCTAAACCAAACTTTGCACACATAATTTATATATAATTGTCTACTGTTGTTTTTTATTCAATTCGGTCAATTCTAAGAAAAGTTATTAGCGAAACAAATTCTCGCCAGTACAACCTCCCCAAACTGCAGCAACAAGTTCGCTCTTCTTCTTCCTCTTTTTGCTGCTGCTATGGGCGCATATAACTCAGTGACAGAAGTTTACCTGGGTACAGGGTATTACACTGTCGGGCTTGCTCGACTGTAGTGTTCTCTATTGTTTCTCATGGAAAATATTTTCTGAATTTCAGGTATTAATTCAGCAATAATTCGTGGAATATGCAAAGTGATTGGAACTACACTAACAAAGTACAAAGATCCATCATCACAACAATTAGTCCGGCGTCTTATTTCCGATTTGGCAAAAGAGCATCATGACATAACTTTTGAATACATGTTATCTGTGCTAAAAACGCTCACATTAAAAGAACTGCCTTTAGCACCTGTACAAAAGTCTTCAAAATCATCTGTTATTGCTTTAAGTTGGATTGCATTGCTACTAAAAAACGGAAATGCTGAATCAAATATTTATAAAACGGAGAAACGGAGGCTTTTTGAATACCAGTCACTATTATACCAAATGACCTTACTAGCTTCACAACAACGAGTTACAGATGCTGCCAGAAAAGTGCTATATGAATTGTGGGAAGACGACAATATTTTTAGTGATACCGTACAAACACTTTTACAGTTGGATCCAAACTCCAATGTAACAATTCTTATAATGCTAATGGTCCAATATGAAAATCAACTAAATCAAGCTACCACAGTTTTAAAAAACAACAAAGATCAAATTATAGAATATTTTGTGAAAAGTATGATTTTGTCGAAAACTAAGCCACAAAAGGCATTCATCGTAGCTTGCTATCCATTTTTGAAAACAATTACCGACTCCGAGTTTGAATTACATATATACCCCCCCCTGCAAAGAAATCTTCTCCGAAGTCCTGAAAATACCCTAGAAAGTCTGGGTCTTATTATTGACGCAATAAATATAAATTGCAGCCGCTACGGTACCCAAATTGGAAAAATTTTAATTCAAAATTTGTATTCCAAAGATGAAGTGGCCCGACGTGAATCTTTAGAGTCGTTGAAGACATTGTCCCAGAAGTGCTCAGATGAAGACGTTATCAAGGTTTTATTAGAACAAATATTTTCAATTTTGAGTGGATCTGATGGCAAAATAAATGTTGTTGAATATAGGCTCAACTTACTACAGGTACGTGTTTTTTCATACATATTCTGAATGTATTTATGTATACATAATTTACATTAAGATAGTAAAATAATAAACATTAAATTTGATAAGATTCATATTAAGTCCAATTTTAAAAACAAAAGCAGTATAGTTACTCCTTGAACTACATTAATACATATTTATGCTCTGTACCTAAAGGGTAAAAGGGTAAATACTAATTTTGTGCGAATGTATGATATTCAATGTTTACATACCGACATAAAAGATGGCGCACCCTGTATGTAAGGCATGGCGGAAAGTAAATGAATTCTGGCACAAAGTATATATATTCTTGATTCTTGATATCCAAACTTGATATACAGATTCTCTTAAGTCCCCAATCTCCCGCTTTTGGCGATTTTCCATATCTCCCGTTCTTCTTGGAATTTTGAAAATCATTCCTTTCTTGCTTATGTATCCATATGGATAGGTGACTTTAAAAGGAAGTTATATCCATAAATTTAATCTCTGTTCATTCTCTACCCGCAGTTGTCTTTGTTGATGCTGTTTTGGCTCAATTCTGTACTGCAAGCATACACGCACATAAACACTCATAGACACGATTCTGATGGAAATGTATGCTGTTGAAACTGTACATGAACATGTCTCCACTTTTGTATATATGTATTGAATATTTTGTATTTAATTTAATTAATATAATTTTTTAAAATTACTGAAAAATGTTTTTTTTTTAATTTTGTCTTTTTGGTGGGAGGTACAGGATATTTAAGAGATGAGCTCGCTCGACTTTAGAATTCCTTTCTTGTTTTTATATTTTTGATCTAAACATATGTACATACAGGGTATTTCAAAGTCGATACACCCGACTTTAGCTTCTTTACTTGTTATTATACTCTGTACATGAAATGTACAAAAGTACATAGTAGGTGAAAATTTATATTATTTTATATAAATTGTATAACAACAAATAACTTAACTTTTTTTAATATCGAAAATTACAACACGATGCGGTGGCGTTTGTGCTTCTATTTAGTTCTATTTTACAACTAACTTCAAAATTCGGCTTACATGCTAAACTAAGCCTAAGGCGGCGAAAAAAGGGCGCAAGGCGACGTCCGCAAACGGCCGCTCTCACGCTCTCTTTTCGCCCTAAACTAAAATTCAAATATTTCTCTTAAACTATCCTAATCTAAAACAGCATCTGCGCCAACACCGGCCCCCTTGGAGGGACATCGTCCTTCAACGGGCAATGGCGCCAGCCGGTGAATCGCCCTTCGGAGATTGCCGCTACTCGTGGCGACGTCGGCCACCCGCACCTTCCCGTCTGTCCCGACGTGAGTTGTGGTGACCCTGCCAAGTACCCACTTTTGTGGCGGCACGTTGTCTTCGGCCACCACGACGAGTTGTCCCACGACGACGTTGGGTTCCTCCTGGAACCACTTCGCTCGCACCTGGAGGCTCGAAATGTACTCCCGGGACCATCGCTGCCAAAACCTGTGCTTGAGACACGAGGCATTGCGCCATCGCCTTAAGCAGGTTTGGCTGTCGATGTCCGGGAGCGGTGGAGCTGGAGTCGCCAGAAGAGGCCGCCCGATTAGAAAGTGGCCCGGGGCTAGCGCCTCGCCGTCGCTGGGGTCCGCTCTGAGTGGTCCCAGTGGCCGAGAGTTCAGCACCGCCTCGACGCTCGCCAGGAGTGTTCCGAGCTCTTCTGCGGTCAGGAGCGCATTGCCCACCGTCCGTAGGAACAGGTGCTTTGCAGACTTGACGCCTGCCTCCCATAGACCGCCGAAGTGAGGCGCTCTGGGTGGTATGTACGCAAACTCGCATCCTTTTCTTGATGCGAATTCGCGTACGCCTTCCGCCTCCTTCTCCCATCTCGCTCGGAACTCCTGCAGCTTCCTGTCGGCTCCCACGAAGTTCGTTGCGTTGTCGCAGTAAACTTTGCGAGGGATGCCTCTCCTGCCGACGAACCTTTCAAAAGCCAAGAGAAAAGCATCAGTGGTTAGATCTGACACAAGCTCTAAGTGAACCGCTTTCGAGGCAAAACAAACGAAAAGAGCCACGTACGACTTGTGCGGTGGCTTGCCACGGATGCGGAGCGTTGTGCTTATAGGGCCACAAAAATCAACACCACATACTTCGAACGGGTGGAACGGCTGGAGCCTGTCTGTCGGAAGATTTCCCATTACTTGGGAGGCCAACCGGGGCTTCCATTTGAAGCAGAGGATGCACGAACGTACTGTTCGGCGACACACTTCCTGAGCGTTAACCAGCCAAACTCGCTCACGAAGCAGGCTCACCAGCGATCTAGGGCCAGCATGGCAATTTGACACATGCAAATAAGATACGTACGATCTTATGAATTGCGACTTTTTAGAAAGCAACAACGGAAACTTGGCTTCGTACGGGATAGGAGCATTTAATAATCTTCCCCCCACTCTCAGCAAGGAAAACAATAAACCGTCTTCTCTAAACTCATGTAGAAATGGACTCAGACGCTGTAAGTTAGCGTTAAGTGTTCTCTTTTTTCGAACCTTGTCGATTTCGTCACCGAACTCATTGTTCTGGATGACTTGAACAATTTTGTTGAATACCAAATTGAGTTCGCTTGGCTTGGCTATAGGGTCAAAGGGCTTCGAGACCTTTCTGCACCTTTGTATAAATCCAAAAACCCAAACGAACACCCTCAGCAATTTTGAATGTGACGAGTAGCTTTCGATAACTTCGAGACTATAATTGGCTTGCCGATCTGCGAGTAAAACTACAGCAGCCTTACGAATTTCTAGGGCAGCTGAATTTTTAGGCGGCTCGAAGTGAGCATTCACAGGCCAATTTTCTTCCGATTCCATGAGGAAGGCTGGCCCTGTAAACCAAATGGAGCTTCGCAACTCGTCTACATTACATCCTCTGGACACGATGTCTGCTGGGTTGGATTTCGTTGGGACATGTCGCCACGTTGCATTCTCGAACCACTCTTGGATTTGAGAAACCCTGTTTGAAACGAAAACTGACCATGCCGACGGATGTGACTTGATCCAGTGGAGCGTTATTTCCGAGTCAGTCCACATAACTATCTTGTCTATTGGAAAATTAAGCAACGGGCGGACTTGACGAAAAAGATCTGCGAGAAGGTGAGCTGCACACAGCTCAAGACGAGGCAAAGTTTTCGTCTTGAGTGGAGCTACTTTGGATTTTGAGGTCAAAAGTGACACTTTCCAACCATTCGCAGTCGAAACACGAACATAAATACAGGCGCCATAAGCTCGCATTGAGGCATCGGCGAACGCATGTATTTGAATGGGTGACTGCGTATCTATATGGACGAATCTAGGGACTTGAATACCGCTGAGGTTCAAGAAATTCTGCTTAAATGAGTCCCAAACTGTATGAAGATTCTCAGGGATGGATTCGTCCCAATCTAGTTTTTGTAGCCACAAATCTTGCAGCAACATTTTTGCTTTGGTGATCAGCGGGCAAAGAAGGCCCAGAGGATCGAAAAGCCTGGCAGTCACCGATAATATGTTCCGTTTTGTCGAGTGGAGATCTAGGAAGGAATTTTCCAACTGAAACTGAAATACATCTTCCTTCGGCAACCACATAACGCCGAGCGTTTTGGTTGGGTTTGAGTCGACTGTGGCTACTGGAATAACTGTGCTATCAAATGCGGACAGTTCCGAGCAGTTCGAAAACCGATTTGCCAATTCGAAGCCTGCACTTTGAAGAACGTGCGACACTTCTGCTCGAAGCTTTTTTAGCTGTTCAACGCTTTCAGCACCAGTTAACATATCGTCGACATAAAAGTCGCTCCGAATAACTTCAGCAGCTGTTGGATGTGAGGAACGGACCATTTCACTCAGCCTTGTTAAACACCGCACCGCCAAGAACGGAGCTGGCGACGTGCCATATGTTACAGTGTTTAACCTGAAGATTTTCAAAGACTCAGACGGATCTCTTCGCCACACTATGAGCTGATAGTTTCTATCTGCTTCGTGCACCATCACCTGACGGTACATTTTTTTAATGTCTGCCGCTAAGGCGAACTTTCGCAAACGAAAACGAAGCAGCGTAGAATAAAGCTCCTCCTGAATTGTTGGACCGACCATTAAGGTATCATTCAACGCAATCTGAGTGGACGTGCGGCAAGAGGCATCGAAAACGACACGCAACTTGGTCGACGTGCTTTGAGGCCGCAGGACACAATGATGCGGAATAAAATAGTGTGGAGTATCTGGAATTTTGTTGTGCGTTGAGGACATGTGACCGAGCGAAACATACTCGTCCATAAATTCCAGATACATGCTTTTCATTTGAGGGTCTTTTGACAACCTCCTTTCAAGCGACAAAAAACGACGTTTCGCAATTTCATACGACGAGCCAAGATTTTTTGGGTCAGATTTAAAAGGTAACCGTACCTGAAATCGACCAGACGACAAGATTTTTGTATTATCAACAAAGTGTTGTTCACAAAACTGTTGCTCAGGTGAAAGAACTTTCGAATTATTAGGCAAGTCCTCAATGGACCAAAACTTTTGTATCGTTGAGTCTATCGAAAGTAATTGTTCTTCTTGGCAACTTAAATTCACTGCTCCTTCTATACTCGTTTTAGGTTGAGTAGAGCATCTGCCTGACACTATCCAGCCGAGAAGCGTTTTTTGTAATGTGGGAGACTCAGGGCCTTGCTTTATTTGGCCTACCGACAATAAGTCGAAGAATGACTGCTCCAATTAACATATCAATTTTTTGCGGTTTATGGAATTGAGGATCGGCCAATTGAATATTTTTGGGGACCCTCCACCCGCTGGTGTTCACCGCTTGATCGGGATGATAACCAGAAATCGATCCCAAGATCCAAAAATCTGCGGAAAACTCGCTACAATTGACACGCGACTTCACCACTGTATGAATTCTCCAATCGCCACTTTTCGTTTTAACGACTGCTGTTGCAAGAACCACTCTATCCGAAGCAGTCGCATGCATGGCATGCGAAGTGGAAGAGCTATCTTGAAGATGTGGTGGCTGAG